GTTAAAAATATCAAAATAGACCCAATATTTTTATTTAGGTATAAGCATTTAAAGTTAGAACTATGCATATTATTTTAATTATAAATTTATAAAAATGTTACTTTTTATGTCTTAGATTTAAAAACTTAATTCAAGATTCTTCATAAGTTTTTCTACTAAGCTTACAGAAAAATCACATTCATTTTATAAGTTTTTGAAGTTCAAATTTTTTCGGCTTACTTACTTTTCCGATAAAATTGGCTGTTTCTCCTCATTCGATTTTTAGTATTTTGTTGTACCTAATTCAAAAACGGATGGAAGACGATAAAAGCTAATGCCTGAAATAATTTTTATTAAAATATTGTAGGGATTGAAATTGTTGTCAGCTTAACTAATGAATTTTACAGTTTTTGATATCAAAAATAATTTTCTGTCTCTTTTATGGTTTAGACTACCTATTACTTTAAAAAAATGTTTATCATATTTTTTTTTTGTACTATATCAAGCTTGTTCTTTGTATAGTTTATTAGTATACAGATATGTACAATAAACTGTTGTATTATCAAATATTTTTGGACTAGTGTTAAAAGTTGACATAGGTATGCGCTAAACCACAAATTAAAATATCACTGATAATTAAATCCATTTTATTAAATGGCAATAATAATAATATTGAAAAATAATTTTCAAGTAACAGAATGTATTAAATGTAGTTGAGAAAAATGTAGAAGACTAAGGTGAATATAAAAAAATTGAAATGTTCTATTGAACATTTAGGTTTGGGTTGGAATTAGGGTAGTTGGGGGTTAAGTGTGAGTGCAAAATGAGTTTGCGTTTGAAACACAGTTTTTAAATTGATGAATTGAGATCCTGTACTTTATAATTTAAATTCGAGCTCTGAGAATAACTGTTTGCTTTTAATAATAAATAACTTAATTATTATTAAAAATATATTTTTACAATTATTTAAACTTAAACATACATAAACATAATTAATATAGGTGTATATTATCAATAAGGATGAGCAAGTTTTAACTCGTCAAGTTATTAAAATTTAAGTTAAATTAAAAGTTACTTATTTATTTAATTTAAATAGTTGAAAGTTAAAAACTAATTTGAAAAAAAATAACATAACTTAAGTTAAAAAGTTACTAATTTAAAATGTATTTATCATACTTTTCATAAATTAGTAAGAGTATATGTGTTCACAGGAAAATAAATTTAAAACAATTATAATTTTAAATCTATAAAATATATATTAGAAAAACTAATAAATAAACGTACCTTTAAAATAAATTAATTCGGTAAGTTAGGAGTTAATTAACAAAAAACTTGTTAAGTTAGATATTACAAATAAAAAGAAAATTAACTTGTTAAGTAATTTAGCTTTTTACCTCATTAATGCCCAGTCTTGTATATAACTACATACATATTTATATGAGGTATCACAAACCAGACAGCAGACTTGGGTAAAATATTTTTTTAAGTATTTAGAATATGTATTCAATTACTTTATGATAATAATATTCCAAATATTTTTTGAATACATTTTTTTAGTTGATTTAGATCTTAAGAACGAAAATATATATTTCTTTAAATTTTCTGTTTATAAATTAACATTAAAATAATCTAGGGAAGGGGGTTTTAAATATTATAAAAAATAAATTAACCCTTAACTGGGGATTGTGCCACTGTTTAAATTATTATAAAAATTAAAAATTAATTAATAAGTAGTAATATATTATATGAGTGCACTTAGGGGAGAGTGGTCCACGTTGAGACAAAAATTGTATTATTGTATCTCGTTAAAAATAGGAGAGTGGTAGATAACTTCTAACTGTACTAAACGAATCAGGAAGTACTAGAGCTTATTATAGCGTATTAAATAACTATTAAAAACTATTTAAACCACTCAAAAAGTTTRTTTTAAAAAAAGTAGAAAATGTCTCATTGTAGACCAYYCATGGTTCACAGTGAGACAACCTATGGTCCACAATGAGACGTATGTTATTTTTGATATAAAATAAAAAAAAATAAACATGAAAAAATGAATTTAACTTTCTTAAATTTAGTTATTACCTCCCAAACATTATAAGATGCAAATAAAGTACATAGGTAAAGGTATACTATACATTATATACAAACAGTATACATATACCATATGAACAATTTATATAAATAATTAAAAAGCAAAAAAATAGCTATAGATTATATTCATMTTTTAATTTATATCAACATTCAGTCTTACTTTGACCTTAACTTAATTCAAATTACAAATATATGCACTTGAAAAATAACTAACAAAAAGAAACATAGGGTTATTATTAATTATTCTGTCTTACTTTGACTATGATCATAAATTTAAATTATAAATATATGCACTTGGAAAAAAATTATCAATAAGGAACATAGGTCATATTATTCAGTCTTACTTTGACAATGCTCATAAATTTAAATTATAAATAGGCACCTATTATATGTGACTTAAAAAAAAAATAACAATTATTTGTAGTTTACCTATGTAACGTCTGAAACTTTAACCCACATGCATCTGCAGCATCCCTCAATGATTCTTTTTCATTAATGACTAAATTTACTGCATCCTGCATGGAATCCTTTGTAAAACTGCCTTTATTAGTTTTTCTTTTGAAGGATCGTCCCATTTTACTTTAATAAATAATTAAATTTATTCAAATATAATTTTTTAACGACGTAACTAACATTTTAACGCAATAAGATATGTGTCTCACAGTAGACCAAAAATATTGTCTCATTGAAGACCATTTCATTTTTTTACATTCTTATGATAACTACATACACTAAAGTAAACATATCGAATCGTTTAATAGATATTTAAAAAATAGACAACATACCGATTTAAAATATGTAATTTGTKTGTACAYCTAAAATAAATAATAATATAAACAGCAAAAACAGAAATGCATAAACAATTTACTTCGCGTTATCAAAAATTGATTTTTATCGTTATTCCGAACTGTTATCATCGGAGGCCAACGTAAACACGTTTATTCGGTGGAGGTAACAATTTAGAACCTAACCTCTAAATATCAACCGTTATCTATTAATCGTAACAAAATTATTTSACTTGTCTCATTTATGAACATGTCTCACTGTAGACCACTCTCCCTACATAAAATATCATATCATTAACTGAAAACTAGTAACCACTGTATCTATAAATATATAATTGCGTTAGTGATAATAACGGGCCTTATCAGTGATTTTAAGCGCATATCCATCAGACAAATCGGGTTTTAGTTATGAATTTATGATGGAAACTACGATGTTTCGATGCAACAACGCATTCGATGCGCTGAATTTCAGAACACTATTGCTTGAAAATACATTGCATTTTAGAACATGTTTTATCATTTCGATGGCAATACGTATCCACAGCGTTGTATTACCGAAGGCGCAATAATATTATAAATTACAATACAAGAATATCAATCCATATGTTAGCGGCAATGTGTATAATATTGGTACCTATTTTATAAAATGTCTAGGAATTCTATAAAACACCAATTACAACTGGCAATCTATAAAATTTTTTAAATTACCTAAGCATTATATGAAATGYCAAACAATGTATAGGTAATATATTAAATCCATAATATATGCCCTTCACCTAATATAAATCCATTAGTAATCTGTAATATCGATATATTTATTGAAGTAGAATTCCGACTGCCGACAGATAACGCGATAACTTTTTCACTGTAGTCATATTACATTCTTATACTATTTTCACATTTCAGTCTTTGACAAAATGTCGTGCGTGGAGAGTCGATTGCGTGGAGAGTCGATTGCGCGAAATGAAAGTTCGTTTTCACACCGAGTTATTGAAGCATCATTGTGACCAGGCCGTGTCAACTCATACTTGTAGTTCTAGTGCCTGTTGGTTTAACTCAAAAGAAATGCAATCGCTGGGCTAGTATCGAATTCTTTTATCTACGTAACGTATCAACGTTCTATACTTCTATGATAAATGATAAATAATAGAATAATTATTGCTTATTGTTATTTGGTTTCCCTCTCATTTTGTTTTTTTGTTTTTGAGACGTCCACGACTCTACGAGGTTTATTACTTTATTGATTTATTTATTAAAATACGCAGACCGTAATTTATTTAATAATGCCTTCTAATAAATGCTGTGTAGTTAATTGTAACAGCGAGAGTACGGTTCGGAAACATGTTTTTCCACTCGATGACGGGGAATTTGCGACGTGGGTTCAGCTGTCTTAAAGTGTCTTACAAAAGAATATATTAGGAAAACATTCCTAGTTTGCTGTAGACACTTTGACAGTCATAGTTATAGTTTTGGTACCACACGACTGAAAAAAGGCTCATTGCCTTGTTYGAAATTGCCAAGTATTTATATTTATATTTTAAATTGTGGTTAATATATGTGTCGACGTGCCGAGATTGTATCTACTAAATATTTGATGTCCGTGCTTGTGATTAGACTATGAAATTATTTGTGGTATATAGCAAAGTTTAATTTAAATGTTCCACGTGTCATAGGTAATAAAGGTATCTACCACTAACTTCTAGTAAAGGTAATTATTTATTTATTTATCACTTAAATGTTGCTTTTTTATCCGCTTTAAATAATAATAAGTAGTTAATGAATTCAATGTTTTATAATTATACTTATATAATTAGGTATTATTCACTAAAATGTTGATAATATTTAATAAGCAGCAATTAATATAACAATTAATTGATAGGTATATTTTTATTAACTTATTTGAACAATTTGTTATAGCAACACCAAAAAACTATCCATTTACTAGTCAAATCAATTGTGACAACTTATCACTCAATGATTCAATTGAATATGTAGATGTTTCCTGCCTGTCACCTTTGGCTTCACCTTTATCCAGCTTAAATCATGGTGTGTAAAAATTGATAATGTGCAAACTAAATTGTCACAAGTTATTAAACAATTAATTATTTTTAGAACACTATTGAATCAATTATCATCTTCCAACCCTGTCCACCTATCGTTTAATGGCTCAAATGAATATTTAAATACAACCTGTTYGTCACCTTTGGCTTTACCTTTATCTGATGTTAATCCTGGTATGTATAAATTGATAGTGTGCAAACTAAACTGTCTCAAGTTATTAAACAATTAATTATTTTTAGAAACACCATTGAATCAATTATCATCTGCCAATCTATCGTTTAATGGCTCAAATGAATATTTAAATACAACCTGTTCGTCACCTTTGGCTTTACCTTTATCTGATGTTAATCCTGGTATGTATAAATTGATAATAAAAAATAATAAACTGGTATGGTTAATTGTTTTTTTTTTTCTAGAAACACCTACAATGCTCTTAAATTCAGTTAAACCATCTTCTGCTATATTACTTAAGACTATTGGAATAAAAAGATTAAAAGAAATGACACCTAGAAAAAGATTGTTATATTCTGTAACTAAGAAGTTAAAAAAGCAGATTAATGTTATTAAGAGAAAAAATGTAAAACAACAATACACAATTGTAATTGTAATAAATATTTTTTTGTGTGCTTATAAAATTAATAATTGTCTTTATTATTATAGTAGGAAATTAATTTTTTTTGGATTATTTCACTATTTTACAGTTTACCAATTTGTTGTTTGTCATTTGATGAAATGCCTAGTTATTATACAGAATATTTAGGAAATGTGTGTAAAAAAAAATTTATTATACATTTATTTAAAATTATATAGAATTCCTAGGCATTTTATATATTATATATATTATACACATTGCTGCTAACAGATATAATACATGTAAACCGTTTATTTCGTCAACATATTTTATAAACTTAAAAAATCTGAATTAATGTATAGTTTATTGATAAAATATATATTTTATATATGATAGCCATATAGGCAACTAATAGTTTATTACTTATTATAGAGAAATCCCTAAGTAAAATATTAAATGACTTATTGTCACATTGAAAATAATAGGAAAAAAATAATATATAATTAATATAAAATAATTTGTCTAAAAATATGCATATATATAAGTACAAACGCAATTTCTACGACGGAAAAAGAATGAAGTTATTTTTAAAATGCGATTGGACGTTAAAAAAGTACTCATAATACTGTATTTAGATACTTGTAAAAAGTATTCAAATTTACAAAGTATTCAGGCTTCAGAGTACTACCCAAGTCTGATCTTGTAGACCCAAGTCTACAAGGCTACAGTCTACGGTTGACTAAACCGCATTTCTTGGGTTATGGATCGCAAAGTACAACAGGCAGTCCTCGTTTCCATTAGCTATCGCCACTCTTAAGCACACCAATCGATCGATTGACGATAACGGAGACAATTTATGTGCCCATCAATCACGGTCACTAAGCACGTAAGCGAGTTCAGTGGTGTAGTTATGAATTTCTTCTNGCTCGATCTCGTCACACGCCTTGTACGCAAACCTTGTCAGACTGAACACGATAGAAGTACTTCCTTCGTTGGTCATGGTCATAGGGGTGTAAGTCACAAAAATATCAGTCAGAAGAGGTCCTGTAAATGAATATAACACAAAACATGTAGAACAACAATAAATAACGGAACAGCCACGTTAGCGGGAAAAAAAATTAAAATTAGAAATACCTATTACAACTTATAATATTTTAAAAATGTATAAGGAAATATTGATGATTATTATGATTAGAATTTACATTCGAGGTATGTTCAGAAAGTAAGTGTACCAAGGTTTTTACGGCCTTAGGAATTGTCAAAGTTAATTATTTATATTTATATAAACATTTAAAATTAAGAAGTATTTGCTTAGCTAACGGTGTTTTTCTAAGAGCAAAAAATCGTTATCTGTAATCATACTGGACTACACAAAATAAATAAGAACCTGGCCACGTTAAACACATTAAATGATAGCTTGTTCACTGTATATTATATTAAATTAATATGCGTTTTTTAAGTTTTAAAGTTCAAACGTTGACAAAACTCAATAAATAGATGGTAAAATTTTTATTTTTAAAATATTTTTCCTTGATATTTAAAATTTTTAAGTATATCGAATGAAATTTTATCATTAATAATAAATTCAACTAATTTTTACTAATAGTTCAATATCCCAAAACATAAAAATCTATTGACATTAAATTGTTTTTTTTTGGTAATGAGTTGTTTCAATCTATTATACTAAATTATAATATTGATATAGTTTAATATTTCCAAGACATAATGAATTTGTATGTTCTTATTCTGATGATATTTATCTCAATAATTAATTAGTAATTACATAGTTTAAATAAATATATATGTTTGACGATCAAAGTTATAATTTATAGTAGAAAATAGTTTTCTACTAATCAGCATACAAGACATAACATAAAATAATATAATTATTGTAAATAACAAGAATTATTTGACAAAGGATTGAAAAAGGCATTTAAACAATTGAAAAAAAAGACACATTTATTAAAAATACAATTTATAATACACAATATACATAATTAAAAAGTTTTAATTTAAAAACACAATATATTAAAGTACCAAATTAAAAATGTCGATGTTTAAAATAATTTATTTTATAATATGAAAATGTATGAATTAATTACATACTATGGATCATTTACAACATGTATTTTAGATTTTAAAATCATTGACATTATATAGAGTTTAATTAAATGTTTAAAAATGAAATAATTTAACTTACTTAAATAATTTAGTTTAAGTAAGTGAAATTCATCAATAGTCCTTAAAAATATATATATAGTAGTTATTAGAAACATGTAACACAAATAACATAATACACAGATAACACAATAAATTACAAAATTTATTAACTATTACTATAAAAGTAAATATTTATAAATATATTTTTAATATACCAAACATAAAAAATATTAAATCGATAGATTTTTAAAATGGGAAGTATACATAAACAAAATTATCATAATATTTTTAAAGCTTACATAATCAATTTAAGCTTACTAAATTATTGTCTTCTTAATATTTGCTATCTTACGCTTCAGATTTTCATTTGCTAAATACCATTCTTTTTTTTCTTTGATCATATTTTCCTCAAAATATCTTAACAAATTGCATTCTTTTTTAGCAGCCAATAGAATGCTTACCTTAGATGGAATGCGTCTACTACTTTTCAAATAACTGCATATTTCTTTCAAATTATAAAACAGGTTTGCTAAGTTTTTTCTGCATTCTCGTTCTGAAGCATTAAGTTTAAACCTGACTTCAGGGTCAGTCCGCTTTAATCGGGAATATCTTTTAGTTGAAAGATTTTTGGTTGAATTATCAATGTCTAAAACAGAATTTTCAATTTTGCAAATAAAATACAAATCTTAAAGAACATAAATAAAATGTTATTACAAACAAAATAATTAAATAACATATATTATTGATGCACAAAAATGTAGATACTTACATGGTTCTTCATAAGCCGGGTTTTCACGGTAATTATATTTAGCATCTTTTATAATGTTTGAATTGCTGCTGTCATTCTTATGTATTTCACTCTTAATGTGTGTTTGAATATCTCCATCATCMCAACAATCTTCATATCCAACAGAAATATCATCATCCAAATCTTCAGAAGTCTCGATATCACAATTTTCCTCATCTATTAATTCCTCTCTGAGTTTTCTTATGATGAAAGTTGGAGATTTAGGCTCTTCTATTTTAATGTTTGGTATAGGTTCTAGTTGAAACTCAACATTTGATAAAGGAAGCACCTTTTGTTTGTTTACTTTGATAATTGGTTGTTCAAGTTGATTCATAGTAACATTTGATCTAATTTTGTAGTTTTTTGTTTCATTATCTGTCAAAACTTCATGATGTTTTTGTTTAATATTAATCACAGGTTTGTATTTTTTCGTCCTAACAGTAGAACTAGAATTTTGGTTTATTATATTAATGGTTGGTTCAAGTTTAGGGGTTAGCAACTTAGCACTAGATGCAATTTTTGATTTAACATTGTGATTTAAATTAGATTTTTCTATATCATTTGTAATTAATTTTATTTTAGGTTTTAAAAAAATATCATCAGTATTTTCTAAATATTGAAGTAGTTTTTGTCGATGTTGTTTAATATTCTGTCTCATTTGTATTTTGCTTTCATTGTCTAAGTTCTTTAACATTTTAAATTGATACTGAAAATATAGAGAAAAAAATTAGGAATACAATATTATATCTTACCACTTAAAATAAATTTTATGTAGGATAGCTGAAATGAGAAGCCTTCAAAATATTGAACTTCAAAACATTAAATTTTGAAATTTTGTACCAATATTTGCAAGAACAACAAAATCTTGAATATATAATTTCAACAACATTTTGAGGACACTCTTCAAACAGTTGAATTGTCTCTATAGCAAAGTATAAAATATTGAATATAAAATTACATCAATATCTTGAGACTTGAGTATTCAAAACTGAATATAAAAATTGTTTCCATTAATACCTTGAATGTTAACACGTTTTTAATACAAAAATTGTTTATATCAAAACCTCAAATATCAAAATCTTAAATACAAAAATTGATTACGTTAAAACCATGAATATTAACTTTTATTATATATACTTTAATAAACTTTTAATAAGTCTCCATTTTTATTGCTTGCAAAATACTTAAACCTAGGTTTGTATTTCCAGTAAAAATTAATCATAAGTATCATTAAATATCATATAAAATCATAATAATTGTTTATAAATTATAACTTATAAAAATAGACTGTTTCTAATAAACGAGCAAGCTTAATAATTTAAAACACTACAAAGTAAATATTTTTATTTTTCACTTATCACTACATATTTTATAGTAGTATATAGTAAAATAATAATATTATAATCTAATGTAGGTTGTAAATATTAATAAGTATTATAAAATATTTTAGATTAAGTATTGAATATAAATTTTAAACGTTACATTAAAATGACAATAATTAGTCTCACGAGAAACAGGTAATGATACTGATATAATTAAAATATTGTATAGGTACGGGTATAGGTATTTACCATAGACTAAGACTTTTGCCATAGACTAAGATTTGTGTTCATCATATTTATCATTGATAATATTATAGTGAAATAAAAKATTTCATTGCATTGTAAAAAGTGAGAATAGTGAGTTATTTGTTTAAATTGTGATAAAAAGTGAGGCATAATAAAAATAGTAAGTTAAGTAGAAAGCCTGCTGTTCATTTATAAAATTGAATACAGCAGTACAGCTTATAACTAAGTAATGTCATTTAAGAGGATGTGATACCCGCATGTGTTTTCTTTGTCTTACAAGTATGTAACATGGAAAATACTGTTTAGCGCAGGATAGAACCATTCAGTCTATACTCTTAGTAGAAACATCTAAAGTTAGCACAATATAGAAGTCAGAAGATAATATTTTCTGAAATGCAGAGTTTTTATTTGTTTGATATATTTAATGAGAATAAAGTTATAATACTTTTAAAAATTTGATATTTTTCAACTTTTCAATCTTCAATAACTTTTTTCTTATTAAATATATCAAACAAATAAAAACGCTATGTCACAAAAATATTATCTTCTACATTATTGAGTTAACTTTTGGCGTTTCTACTAAGAGTGCATACTGAGTAGTTCTATCCTGCGCTAAACAGTATTTTCAATGTTATGCACTTGTAAGACAGAGACAACACAATAATATGCAGATATCACGTCCTCTTAAGATATACAACCGAGTCAATACACTCATCATTTAGTTCTAAGTCTGACTAACTCTCAATTACATTAATTTAGCAATACCTAATATAAACCTAATGCAATAATAGAGTAGACATTTTAAATAATGTTGTATCTAATTAATCACATACATCTTAAGGCCCAGCATTTCAATGTCATCCATGAGTACAAACTTAAATAATTTAAATCAAAAACCTAACGATATGCACGTCTACAGCACCTAATTGTGGCAGTGAAAAGGTAGAATAAATAAAATAAATAATTAATAAATAATAAACAATAATTACATATCTAATTTACCTAATTTAATTTCCTCATTGGAAAATTTAAACTACTGTCTACCTATCATGCATAACTTACAATAATTTGATAACTTACATGAACAATTATTGGAATGCGGACTTCGTAAGTTCTAGGTACTAGTCGCAATTAACACTACGATGGAATATTGCAAAGGTACGATTATTACAATGTGAAAATGTGGCTACCAGCCTCCGATGATCACTATTCGGCGCGTAACAAATAGTCAATAATAATAATAATAATATAACAGGCTAACGTATGTGGTACAGATCATTCAGTCTAATCCTTATTCATCTACAAACTATAAAATGGTGAATGGATGGAATACAAAATGGATGGATACAAAAAATGTTGCCAATATCGGCGACGAGTTTCTTAAGTAGGTGTTCGATATGCGCATGCGTGATACAACTAGTCTATTTTTTTTATTGAATTTGAAAACATCAACAGCTAAGGTTATAAGTTTTTTGTTTAATGTTTAATATATAATGAGTGATTTCCAAGACTACAATTATACGATTAATATGGTGTTAATTATGTGTGACTTCCATTAACATTAATATTTTGGTTATCGTGACATGCATACATTGATCATTGATCACATAAATTATACTCGTCGCTAATATCAGCAAGAAGGCAACACAATAATATTATGCTGAAGCTTCATCCATAATTTAATATTATGATCTAAGATAGAGTCCCCATTTCCCCAACCTTTTTTACYTGATGGCACTCTTGATMAATTCACATATTTTATGGCACACTTAAATAAATAAATAATATTAATAATAATTTTGATCATTATATGTAACATATACGAGACACAATAAGATAAAAATTATACGAAACACCCAAATAATTTCGTGGCAAACTTTTGCATCGCGGCACTGTGGTTGGGAACCCCTGATCTAAAGTATACAACTTACTGCTGATAGGTATCGTGAACGTTGTAAATTGTTCAAAATGCTGTACTACCGTTACAGTAAACTGTTTACAGACTCTGGTAACGAAATTTTTTCTTCCAGTTTATTTTTCAGCTTATCATGGTATGCCGATACCTCGTAAGTTTTAGGGAATAACAGCATAATGTTATTTGTTATTTGTTCCATGATATTGCTCAAGGCCCGTGCACCGCCGGGTCACTGTCACTTTTTTTTTTTTCAATATTAAAGTCATATTATAATATATTATATTACTCATTTTGAGGTTATATTGATATGTAAATGTGGCATGTGCGCATGTGCGGATGCCGTTGCCGCATAGCGCAGCGGACGTCTGTTCACTGTTCAGTGATTTCGCACGTGTTTGAATAACGTACATTTCATTTTCACTTGTTAACATAATATTTTATTTACGAACTCGTGGAATTCAACAGAATTATCGTTTGTCGTACACACGTGTTTGAATTAATACGAATTGTAAGAATTTAAGGACGGAAAAGTAAGTTTATCAATTTGTATTACATACTGCAATGGCATACGCGAGAATGGAGTTCTACTCCCCTCTTCCCCGTAAATGACTACCTTCAACAAAAGAAATTTTTATTATTTACCGCCATAATCAAGACACAGTTAATTAATTATTTGTAATTTTTAATAACGAAAACAACTTAGAGAGTCAAGGTTCTAGTTTTTCATATTGTCATATTTTTGTTAACAGATATGTCTAACACTAGGTAACATACTAATATGTTCGTGGAAAATACTACAAGTAATTAGTGTTAAATAAAACTTAAAAAGAATAATATGTTGTGTCAGTCTCATAAACATAGTATAATAACCTTCAGAATATTATTCATCTCATGTTGAAGGCTTTTATTGATATTTTAATTACCTATAAAAGGAGTTATAACTAAAATATTACAATTTAAAAATACCCATAACTTTTTTAAGATTAAAATATCAATAAAAGCCAACAAGTTACCCAAAAAATGTTCTAACCTTTAATTTATTAATAATCTGATTCATCCTTTACCAATAGGTGACATAGTTACATTAAAATTATTGATACACAATTAATTCTGATGAACACAAATTCACCATGAAGTAGATCAGCGGTTCCCAACCTGTGTACTCTAAGGGCACCGCTAGCTCATTTAGGGGCCGCCATGCACGACTCATCCGAGAATGAAAAAAATTATTAAATTATATATTAAAAATAAAAAATTTATTGTAGGTAGTTGAAAAGTCAGAAAATTACTTAGAATACTATCTGTATATCCAATATTAAATATAGTATTTCTAATATGTGACGAATAATTCAATAATAGATAAAAACAGATAAAAATATTGCCAAACTTTCCAAAAATAAACAGCYTCATTAATTATTAGTTTTTCACTATTAAAACAGAATTTTTTCTTTTTACTTCTAATTATATAATTATAATTTGTAAATAATATGTTYGATAAAATTATTTAAATCAGTTATGAATGAAAACTAGTGTTTATTTTTATCACGTTCCTCGTGATATTCATAGAAGGGCACCTAACAAAATTTGTACAAACAATAGGGCACCGCCTGCTAAAAAGGTTGGGAACCGCTAAAGTAGGTATATTTATCAGATTGAGATAACCTATGCAAATGCAATGGTTACCTAAGTGTATCCAAGAAGACCTGCTAGTGAGATAAAAAATGTATTTTCTATTGATTTGTTTTTATAATCAGTAAAATTGATTGATCAACAATATCTCAGTGTATATATTTCAATATGTCAATAACACAATTCTTAATTTAAATTTCCAGTATAAAGATAATAGATATATCATAAGTATCTTGTACTATAATATTTTTAATATTCTAAAACCACATGAATCGAATACTGTTTTTATCACACACTTATTTTTAATTGAAGTTGCATACCTAGTTGTCTACAAATATACCAGGTCAATAACTGTTTACCATTAAACATTATATTATTATGAATTAATTATATTTTTATATTTTAATATGTAGCAATATAATTATAAATTTAAAAGAAAAAAAATATAAATATAAAACATGGATGGCTTTATAGTTGATTGTGCTAAGATTGATTCGATTAAGCAATGGTTTTAATTAGGGAATATATTTTAATAAAAAATCAAAATTTGGTGACAATTTGGTTTTAAGTTTTTAATTATCTGTGTAATTTAGTAATAACTAACACCATTGATTATAAATACTATAGATTGCTCTCGGTAGAGTATCGTTATAACCTGTCCTCCTAGTCAGTTCTGTATAACAACATTAGGACTGCTTGTAAATTCAGTACAACATATTTTTGCACTCTAGTGAGAAATTAATTGTATTTATAATCAGTGCTAATACTTACATCTTAGAAGCTGTTAGGCGAGTTAATACATTAAATATTTTGAGTTTGAAATTGATTTATATTTTTTATAGTGGATCGTGGCCCCAATAAAAGAAGAATAAAACCTTCTAATAACCCGGAATTATTGCTAGATTTTTTAAGTGAAAGTTCATCTGATAGTGATTTTCGTATTGAAGATCACCATGTAAATAGTGAATCAGATTCTGAGGATTCAAATTTTTCCTTTACTGAAGGTATGTTATTTGTTTAAAAAAAAAAATTGATTCTTCAATTTAATAATATTATGCATTTTTAAAATTCCATGTACATTTTTGAACATTTAAATTAATATTATAATTAATTTTAAAAGATTGTGGTTATCAAGAAGAAGTTAAAAAATATGATGAAAGCAATATTGGACGTAACAATGATAATGTGACTACTGATTTTACAGTTGTTGTCACACCAAAAGAAGATAATTCTACTAAAGTAATACATTTAACTGAGTTTTACATAGTCAACTTACCATTTAAAATCAATTTTCCTAACATTTTCAGGTGAATTTAAGAGAAATAGTAGAAAGTATTCGTATTTGTAGTATTTGCTTAGGTGATACCAGTGATGATGTAAACGAATTAATAGATTGTGATGAATGTGGTATTTCAGTTCATGAAAGTAAATATACATTTAATAATAATGTAAGTATAGTAAATAACCTAATAACTTTAATTATTAGGTTGTTATGGTGTTCATGATTCCGGAAGTGTAAGTTCATCCCTTTCATCATTTTCCACGGAACCATGGTTTTGTGAAGCTTGTAAAGCAGGCATTGAAAATCCTACTTGTGAATTATGTCCTAATTTTGGTTTGTAAATTTTTTAAATAATATTCTATTGACTTAACACACACATCTTTTAAATTGATGTATTGTTGTTATAGGTGGAATATTTAAGGAGACAGATTGTGGTAAATGGGTACATTTAGTATGTGCTCTTTATATACCTGGTATATGTTTTGGCGAAATTACAAGTCTCAGCAAACTCGAGTTATTCAAAAATACTACACCGCGATGGGGTAATAAAAGTTGTACATTGTGTAAGGATTTCAGATTTTGCAACACTGGAGTGACTATTTCATGTGATGCTGGGATGTGCCGAACTAGTTTTCATGTTACTTGGTATGATAAATGTATATAATGCAAATCAGACTTTTTCGTTCCAATACACATTTTTTTTCCATTTAACAAAATGTGGCTCCCATCGTGGTACAGTTGTCAATTCACTAAAAGTGGTCTACCTTCTATAATATAATATAGCTATTCATATTAAACTATAATTTGCTTAATTTATTACTTAACTTATCTTAAAACTATTTCCACTTCCCCCTCAAAACATTCAGCACTACTGCATAGGTTTTGTCGCAATCATTAAAACTACTTCCTGAATGCACGTGTTATGATTTTCACTATGGCTTAAACAAATTCATATAAACACACACACCTCCACCACCAGAGGTGGAGTTGCTCTAAATTTCTTACTGGGCAAACCAATATTTTCTGGCCACTTTTCATTATGAGCTATTATTTTTTTTTTTCAATCAACGTTTAAGAAACACTAATCAGTGATACCACATCACATATATATATTTCTTCAGTTTCTGTGTACGCTATTATAATATAAGGTATAAGACATAATATTTAATATAAGTAATACTTATACCGATATATTAACTAATATTTTACGCTGTAACCAATGTAACCTTTAACATTTTATATATTTTTTTGTGAATAGTGTTTTTGTGACCTATCTTTTTGAATATTTTAACTAAAAGTTATTAATTTTATTTTATTTTAGCAATAAATAATCTGCAAATTAAATGGTGTAAAATTTAAAGTTTAATGTGACAAACAAATAACAAATATGGTCGAACGTGGTTAGCTCCAAATCATTTATATCTCAAAGTTGTTCCCCAGTCTTTACACCTAATTTTGTATTTTTAGATTACTCTAACTTTTTTTCTGGTTTCAACTTCGAGTTAAACAAGTTTGACTGTATTTTACAAAGTTTAATATGTCTTCTTATTTGATATAAAATGAAACTTATCCTTAAAAAGTATTTTACTACATATATGTAAAACAAAGAATAATTTAATTTAATTTAATTTAATCATAACAATATGGGATAATAACTGATAATAAATTATTAATAACCTTAATACCCTATAAGTTCAATTTATCAGATATCCCTTTATTATTATTATACTAATTTAAACTTAATCAAACATTATAAATTTTGCAACCAAAAATTAAATGCATTATGGAATTATTGAAGTATAGAATGATAGTCGATGGACCACATTTTGCATAAACAAGCAATTCAAGTCACTGGGAAATGTCCCCGTGACCTGATGGACCACTTCGCCTGTTCACCGCCATAACATTCCTAACCAATTTTTAAAATGTGTAATAAAGTTATATCTTCTAGATTCTTAAATAGACAATTCTTATAATTATTTTATCATATTAATTATAATATGTATTTTTATAATATAATTTATTGATTAGAGATATAGTATTTATAAGTATTTCATTATCATTAATTAGTGCTCAACGAGAAGGTGGATTATCAGATTCATCAAGTCCAGAAACAGACCAAACAGATCCATTTTATGCTCATTGCAAGTTGCATGTAGACAAATTGATAGTAAAGTTAGTAAAATTTTTCTTTTAATTGATTTAGTATTTTTTTTTTTAGTAAATCATGATAAATATTATAAATAAATTATTATTTATTAAAAATATTTTTTTCAGAACTTCCTAAGTTTCTTTGTAATTATTTCCCACTCTTAATATAAATTTAATATGTTGCTTTTTGAATTTCTAGTATAATATTTATACTTATATATTTTTATTTTCTAGGACAAGGAAAAGAAATTGGGAAATACTTCAATTAAGAACAGAACAAATGAAATTAAAGCGTAAACAACAGTCTTTAGAAAAATCGCCAACGTGGCAACGTACTCGACGATGGCTTACAAGATTACAATCTAAGTATGATCAAATGAAAAAAAACAGTAAAACACTAACAACAGAATCAAGTAAGTTATTGAAAATTATTAATTTGTATTTTGAATAATATGCTATATATTTTATTTTATTTTATAGCATTTAAATCAAAAGTTCCTCGTCCTATTACCACATCAGCTTCATCATGTCGAGCACTTTGGTTAAAAGCAGACTTAATGGGTATAAATACTACCTCTCAAGAGACTATTGATGGACAAATTAAGGAATTGCGTGATGTACCAAAAAAATGGTTTATATCGCCTGCATTTAGGTTAGAGATAATTACTATTATATTTCTTTGTTGATATAATATTTTTATTTATTATTTTTAGTTTGGAATTTGTAAGTTATTTCATGGATAGAAAATTAAGGTTGGCAGATTTGCAAAAGCAGCTAAAGCATTTTACTGAGCGAAAMAACATACTCCATGACAAACAAAAAATTGTACAAGAAAAATATAAACAAGTAATTCAATTGTTTAATTACATACTTTCTTCAACTTATAAAATAAAATATATGTATTACTTATATTTTAATCCTTATGTTTTTTTGCAGGTTTACAAAAATAATGAAATTCTAAAAAAAAAACATTTGGAACTCGAAAATATCATTAAAGCATACCATTATGTAATTAATTCATGCAATCCTAATGCTAATATTTTAGATGTAAATATAATTACCAAAGAAGTTCAAAAGGATTATGATTCTTTTAGTGAGTTAAATTTATTATACTTTATAACTTACTTTCCAATTATTTGTAATGCAAATACTGGGGGGCTTAATAGTTAATAGTATTCCTTCAATATTTTTAAAAACGTGCCATCAAACTCTGGCTAAACCTTTATGTTATTTATTTAATTTGTTTCCATCCAATAGAACTTTTCCTCTGCTGAAAAAATCTTTTGTTATTCCCACACATAAATGTGATATAAGTGATGAACAAAATATAAAAACTATAAATTGCTTTCTAAATTACCAATTTGTCGAAAATGTTTGAAGCCATTGTCTTGATAAAACCATCTAATTTAATGCGCAATAATACAGTAAACGCGGTTTATAAAATTCACTTTGAGACATGCACAAAGTAAGTCTTATAACCGAATGATTTTCATTGGCAAAGTGGAAAAAAAAACATAAAATACTTTTGAATTTATTATGTATCTAACTTTCGTTTTAAACTACATTCATGCATACATATTACACATTACTTATTTGTGAATAAGTTAAGAAAATTAAATTAAAAATTATACATACACACATAGTAAAGCATGAATTGAAACCAGTAATAATCAACAAAAATGTGTTATTTTTGTAATCAAATTTATTTCTAAATTTGTATCAAACATTTTTATTTCTACCATCTTTTTTACGAAATTGGAGTCTTATAAACAAAATAGTAAGTTGTATAACCAAATATAAATATTATAATGTTTTTGGATACGTTTGGACCGTTCCAGTCGATTTTGCATCTATTAAGCGAGAAACTGATATCCGTGAGCCTTATAAACGGCGTCCACTGTATAAACTTTTCTTAACATGGATTTTTACTAAATCATTTTATTCAATCAGATTTATTATCATATCATAATATTCTTGTAAAAGATCTTAATCAAGGCTTTTTAGTGGATGCTATTTACACAAATTTTGAAAACGTGTTTGTTAAGAAGACGCCACACCCGCATGTGTTCTCTTCGTCGTACAAGTGCGCGTAGCATAGCAATTTTTACGCTCAGCAAATCTTGTTTATCTCCTTCAATTTAAAATGCAGAGTGAATTGACCTATTATAACATTTAAAGGCAAGATTATTATCGAGGGCATCTCATAGGCTTTTTATTATATTTTAAATTTTAAAATACTCATTTCTCGCTTTAAAATTAAAATATAATAGAGAAAAATATAAGAAAATTTGGGTCATAGGGACAGCCAGTAGCCGCATATTTAATCTAACTTACTATATTATATGCGTAGATTGATTATGCTGTATATCCTATAAAAAAAGAATGTGCTTAGAGGGCGGCGGTCCCCAATCGCCTTTGCTTTGGCGCCAACCTGGCCACGGGTAAAATATATAATTAAACTTGCGATTATTGGCTGTCTCTATCCCCCAAATGTTCCACTAAAAATCTATATTTTTGTTATACTGTGCCTCTGCCATGTGCCCTCATTATTATATTAGCTTAATTATGTGTAAAAGATATTTACTGTGCACCAGCCATTTGCTACAAATTTATTATCTATTCATATAAATGCCTAAATAGTATTATTCACTCATGTGAAATTATATTATTAAAGCAAATAATTGCAACATGTCAAATAAATTTAATCGTGATACCGTAAACCTACACTCTTATTATTTAAAATGTCCCCCATATTATAAATCTTTCACTTTTAGCTTGTGACTGTGTGCACAAAGCCTATCAGCTCCATTGACTGGACCCCACAGCTTACACGCGGTGCGGCTGGTAGGTCACCATTTAAGTGTACCACTTGAA